TATCCTTTCTGGTTATGTGGCTCTGCAGATATCTCTTTTGTAATTCTTCGATTACCATGATCGAGCAATGTACAAAACTGGCTCTTGCTCTTTCGAAGGGTAGAAAGCTTGCTTTGGCACCTTTTGTCTTGTCGAATTTGTATCATGCCTGCACAGACATCGTTACGGGGGGATTTGATGATGCACGTGGTCCATTCTGGATCTTGCAACTCTGGCTACAGGCTTACTTTCCAGAACATCAACCTTCAACCTTGGATGACGGTAGCCCTCTCACCTACGGGCATGCTTTGGTTGATGGTGTTTTGAGACCTAAAACATTCAGCCAATATTTTCTCTTCTTCAATAAATGCTCATCTCGAACAGCCAGCCAATTCACGCCTTTTTCGTCTAGGAAGTTTGGGCCTGAATGGTTTAAGAGGTCACTTGATCCTTACTTCCAAAAACTCAACAGAACAGAATTAAAAGACATTTGGGCTAGTTATCTTATTGCTCGAGACCTCCCTTATAGTATCTGCATGGACGAATCTTCGAAGTGCAAATGCATGGTCGAACATTACTCTCCAAATCAGTTTGCTCGACAGTTTGGCATGACACAAGCTATACCCTTCTACCAATCAGCAAATGACTCAATCAGTAAAGAAAATTTTCGGGATGACAGTGAAGAAACTGAATCAAGGTTCTCCCAATTAAAAAGGGAGTTCTCGTTTGTTCCATTTAATGTTAATCCGAGCTCTACTGATTTCTTCGATTTCTGGTGGTCAACTTATATGAACAATCGGGATAAAACTACTACTGCTACTGATGTCCTCAGGAAGATCTCACTGTACGTTACGCCTCTCGGTTCATCAGAAAAGCAAGAAGTTGCTGCTCATAGGTCCAACGGTATTAAAGGCAATTCTCAGTCTGCAGGAAAATTTGTCCGGAATATGAAGAGGAAATATGAAGGTATGATAACCTTCTTGGTAGAACAAATTTTAAATCCCTCTTTGGCTGGTATACTCATAGAATACCTTATTTGTGTTGGTTAAGGAGGACAAAAAATATTGTCCTTCAAAAATGCTGCCAAGCGTGCATCGAATCCTTCAAAAGTAATGCACTTTTTTGGAGGATCCGAGACTGGTGCGTATTTTTGGATAGCTATCAGTGTTCTCTATGCTTCTTATCTTTCCGTTTGATTTGTTTCTTTTTTTTTCCCTGCATTGTGATATCTAGTATTGCTCCCTTATTCATGCCTTAAATGCTTTTAGGGTATAGTATTCCATCACGATCGTTTGTACAGCAAAATGACGAGTCCGGACAACAAAAGAACTCGTATGAGGTGGCTGAAAAGATATCTATAAAAAGTACAATATGCAAGGTAAGACTTTCCCTGCACCTCCCAAACAAAGGTGGATCTGTAGATTTTTATAACATGTTTAGAGAATCTGAGCCGAATGTACTAGGTTCAGCCGAACCTGTAACTTCTACTGTGCATCCGGTCACGACCAAACAGGCTTCTGAGATTGTAAGGGGATTAGCTTGTCCTGATTCCTTCACTTTACTGTTGTTTCATCATTTCAGAAGATGAAGACTTCCGCAATGAAAATGCCGCTACTGAGGACAACTTCTAGCGTACCTTTTGCATCAGCCTTCCTGACAAGCCGTGCTTCTGCTGATGAAGATGAGACTAAGGCTGACGAGCAAGTTTCTGATGCTAATGATACGTCAACCTCCGCCTTATCCTCCACTTCTGAAAAAGTAAGTTCTCGTCTTACTCGTGGCGTTAAGTTTGATTACTCTATCTAAGTTTGGGATCTTTTTGTTTTTAGGAAGGCGAAAAGTGTACAGTTTCCCCATCATTAGCTGAGACTGAAAGCAAGGCATCTGATGTTAGTGAACCACCCGACTGTCCTGTGAAATTTGACAATCTAGAAGACTTCTTTGCTCGAGTTAGCGGACAAATTAAACAAGCTCAATCTCTTGGATTTTCTGCTGATCATTCTTCTCCCATAGACGAAAACACATCCGCCATGCAAAAGTCTACACCGTCAGCAGAAATGCTTGCCACAGCGAAAGAAGACATTGAGAGATTACTAATCATGCCTTCTCAAGACTTGCTTCAACCCGAAAACTGTTCAAAACTAACTGCAGCACTGTCAGTATACATTGCATCATCAGATTTATCGGTTGAGAGAGCACTCGCGTTTGAGAAACTCAAAGAGAACCTTCCGCACCTTTCCTCAACGTACCATAGAGCTAAGAAGGACAGAGAGGATTATTACAAGAAGGCTGCCAAGAAAGTGATCCTCATCGACGAGCTCACAAAGGGTCAAGAACACTACGCCAACCTCAAAGACTACAGCGACAAACTTGAATGTACAACTGATTCCATCAGAAACCAAATCCGCAAGTTGAAAGCAAGTTTGAAGGATGCAAAGACGAAACGAAAAGCCATCCAGGACCAAAAATTGAGTTTGGCTAAAAAGTGTTTTGAAAAGTCTAATGCACTTGATGAAATGGAAGCTGAGTCTCCTGAGATGAAGGAGATAGCCGACTCAGACATAGCCCGAGTGGAAGAGATCTTGACAGAGTTGAAGAGTAAGATAAAATCGAATCGCGTGTGTAAATCGCTCTTTCATGTGAATTTGCTGTCTAGTGATCCGTAGTATAAGAGCATGTAAATGTCATTTTTGTGATGTGTAAAATCTCTGTTTTTGAATGGCATCCTAATGTATTGACTTGTTGGTCCAAACTTGTAAATTGAAACAACAAATGTCCCAAAACATGGTTTTTGGTGAACATGGATAATTCAACATAGCACTAATTTTGGCATGATGACACGGTAAAAATGAATAAGTGTATTATGAATATATTGAAACTAATGCATATAATTAAAATTTGTGCAAACGAATATCATATATTATTATAAGCATGAAGCTCAAAACTTAAAAGTTGAATTACCATTTTACCCCTCTAATAAATTAAAACTTTTATAACTTTTATATATATATATATATAATCTTCTTATTCTCATTTCATAATCTTGTCCTTTCAAATTTCTAACATAAATGTAAATAAAAATAAAAATGAGTAATTATCAAGAAATTAAAGTAGATTCATGTATCTTTAAAATTAAATTTCATCTCTATCTTTTTTATATTTATTTGAACAATAATTCATATGACTTTTCATGTTTCCATAATTTTGTTCTATAAATTTAACTTTTTCAAGAAGGACTTTTATTTACCACTCCTACAATTTTTGTATGTAGGAACTCTAAACATGTGAAATAATGTCACAATTTGAGGTGAAAGTTGTGAGATTCTCTTATGCAGTTACGAGAATAGTTAAGAATTTAATTACTGAAGCATCGGAGCTTGATGTGTTAGTTTTATACTTATTTGTAGTAAGAATTATAATAAGTTTTTTTTGTCTCTCTTCATATAGTTGAATTCTTGTTTTATTAGCAAGTTGCTCTAAATTCATATTTGTATATGCTCAAATGTTAAGTTTCACTATAGAGACAAACAAAATGAAATGCCTAATTATCTTGCTCATGTGTACCTTTTTTTTCTTTCTTTTCTCCGTACTTATAATTTTTACATATACATTAATTTTCATCTTTAAGAATGAATGTGATAAAATAGGATGTTTACTCTTTTCTTTTCTTTTTATGGAAAAAAAAGGTGAAACATATAATATTAGATTAATGGTGGATAAGTTATGTATGACAGAATTAAATTATATAAAAATAGTAGTTATTCATAAATATCCTGATTTTTAAAATATAAATGATATAACTTTTTACATCTTAGTTTTAAATATTTATAGTTAACTAATTAGTTTAAAGTGTTTGTGGATAAAAAATTAATACAATACTTAAAACACATTCATTAAAAAAGTTGAAAGATTTTGTTTTCATTTACTCAAAGTTAATCTTACACTATCTAGCATTATTCTACCAATAAAATGGAACTATCAAGAAATTTAATTTAGATAGTTGTTATTTTTCCTCTTAGCTTTGCAAACTTATTTTTTGAATTACAAACAAAGTTTATTTTATTAATTTCTCATATTATTATCTCGATGCATTCACTTGGAGGTAAGAAAATTGGAGTGTCACAATTAGTAGTAAAACAAAGTAAGAAATCTCAATTAGACATATTTTATTATTTAATAGTATTATCTTTTAAGAAATAATACACTCATGGATTACACGCGAAATTAGTATATAAAATAAATAGAAACACTTAACATGATATATTTTCTTAGAAAATGGGAAAAATGGTTGAAACTAGTGGTATTAATATTAGTTTGCACATCGGTACATTCACAATAATAGCCCCTTAAGTAATGCCTTAAGCAATTTTAGTCCTCTAAATTTGTAAAATATAGCAAATTCAACCCAAAAAAAATCAGTGAATCAAATTAATCAAGCATCTCCAATCCTCCCATTTTTATAAACACAAAAACATCAAACAAAACAATGGAGGACAATAACCCACCCCCCACAAAACCCAGGGTGGTGTGTTGTATAGGTGATATCCATGGCTACATAACAAAGCTCCAAAATCTATGGTCAAATCTTGAATCTTGCGTTAACCCATCTGATTTTGAGACTGCCCTTATCATTTTCTTGGGTGATTACTGTGATAGAGGTCCAGAAACAAGTAAAGTTGTAGACTTTCTGATTTCTTTGCCATCAAAATACCCAAAACAATCTCATGTTTTTCTTTGTGGGAATCATGATTTTGCGTTTGGGGCATTCTTGGGTGTACTTCCAAGTCCACCTGATGGGTCTGAATTTTGTGAGACATGGAAAGAGTATGAAATGAATGAGGAAAGAGAAGGGTGGTATAAAGGTGAAAGCTTTGAGAATATGCATTTACAAGGGAGGAGATGGGCTGGGAATCATACTGTCAAGTTTAATGCTGTAAAGGGCATTGATTATAAAGGATCTATTTATGATGCTGCTCCTACTTTTCAGTCTTATGGTGTTCCTCATGGTTCTGCTGGTATGATTCTTTAATTTTTACTTTTTGTTGGTAAGTTGAGCTGGTTCTTACGAAGGACGTTACCTTAGATAGGAGGGTTTGGTGATTAGGATAGAAGGTTAGTTGGTAGTCGAGACTTACTTGTTTATCAATAATATTAGCAATGTTTTCATATTTTCTAGTCCTTTGATTTCAATTATCACCTGTGCCTTTTTGTGCTTTATTTCGCATTATTTAGTTGTTGTTACTGCTTTTTTCCCCCTATATACCCTTTTTCGAACTGTTTTATGCTTTCTAAGCCGAGGGTCTATCAGAAATAATCACTCTATCTCCACGAGGCAGCGGTTAGGTTTGCGTATACTCTATCCTCTCCATTAGGTTTGATATTTTCCGGGAGGCTTCTTAGTTTCTTATTATAGTTACACTTATATGTCCATGTAGAAATAATAAGTGTGAGATTTAGAAACTCTTTAATTTCAGAGAACTATCAATTTACTTTAAAGTACAAATCATCTAGTATCGGGAATGAAATGAGTTTTTATTGAGCACAATGAATACATAGGAATAATATGACTGACTCTAAGTTGGGATGGCAGCATATGTCAGTTACTGATTGATTGACTATCATAATATTCTATTTCGATTCTGTATCAGTGAATTATTTGTATTGATTCCTTTTTGGATCACCTACTCCGGTTCTGTATCAGCGCATATGTCAGTTATCGATTGATTGACTATCATAATGTTCTATTCCAATTCTATGTCAGCGGATTATTTGTATTGATTCTTTGTTGGATCACCTACTCTGATTTTGGTGGTGATAACTCAACTTTTTTGATAACTGTGGTGTCCAGGCTAGCTTTCGCGCATCTCAACTAATTCCATGAGATACCTGCCACCTCCCACTAGCAATAGGTACTCTGTAACTCTATCCAGCAAGGCGGACAACTCTGTCCACCATTGCTAGAATAGACGGGAAGAAATCACCTAGTGTTTTGTCTGTGCTGGGATCTGAACCTTGGACCCTCATAGTGCTCAGCCCGAACACTTGGCTACACCCTTGGGTTCGGTGATCACTCAGTTGTTTATCATTGTAATGTGATATATAGTTGTTAATATCAGTAATAAATGTGTAGTAATTTTTTGTTTTCCTCCAATTAAAAAACAGGGGTGTAGTGTGACATGCAGCTCTTTTTGAGTAGGAATGTTCATCTAATACAGGGTTATTCCTTCCTGTCATGCTCAAGATTGTCCCTTTTTTCATATGGTGTTGGGTGGACCTCCAGAGAACTTTTGCTGATAGTCCATTCTGGAGTTCTATTACAACAACATACCCAGTTTAGTCCCACATGGGGGCTTCCCATGACGGTAGTGTGTATGCAAATCTTACCCCTACCTTGGAAGGTGGAGAGTCTGTTTCTGATAGAAAATATCAGGAGTGAAGAAAACAAAACAAAATACTACACAAGGCATGACAAAGCATACTGAATAAGGAACAGGAACTACAACAAAATAATATGATAAACGAATTACAAGGGAAAATATATAGTAATAGAAATCAAAGGAACAAGAACCTACAAGAGTAGTAATATGAGCACTAATATGAAAAGATAAGTGAGAGTGTGAGACTACCTACTAACGTTATACCCTAATCCGTATCTTCCATAATCTGCTGTCTACGGTCTTGTCATCGTAAGCTGAAGTTGCACTTCGTTCTATTGCCTTTTACCAAAACAAAAAAAAAAACTATGAGAATTCTTAGTTCTGCCTATTGCAATATTACATAATCACTTTATATTCCTTCTGTTAACAGTAAGGTTTTACTCTTTACAGATCTTATGAAGGCAGTTCCTGATGAGCACAAGAAATTCCTTGCCAATTTGGTTTGGATCCATGAAGAGGTAATCCGCCCCTTCACTTTTCCGCGGGCACTTTAAGCCAATTTGATTTTTGCTTTATAAATGAACTCAAGAATGCTCTTATATTAATTATGTCATTGAATAGCCAACATGCAACACTAGCAGAGGATTCAAGATTTAAAAAGTTTGTCTCATTCTTTGGCTTTCTAGGACGATGTTACCATAAAAACCGAGGAAGGAATTAAAAGGTGCAAACTAATTGCTGTTCATGCCGGCTTGGAGAAAAACAAATCTGTTGAGCAGCAGATTAACACCTTGAAAGCAAAGGACACGAGGATTCCTAAAGTTGCTGCCCTCAGTGGAAGGAAGGACGTATGGGAAATCCCTCAGGTCACTTCTCTTTAGTACTTCATTCACAAAATTTTCATTGCGACTCCTAGTCTATGTTGCATGGACTCTTCAAAAGTATCCGATATAGGTGCAACAACATTTTTGAAGAGTCTGAGCAACATAGTTTGACGCTAAATATTAATTATATCATGTCTTGTGCTTTCTAAGAAGATCATGCTAAACCGATTCTCCAACTAAATTTGATTGTTCTTGCATTATTTTGTTAATAGGAACTGACTAAAACTCCAACGATTATCGTAAGTGGCCACCATGCAAAATTACATATTGAAGGCCTAAGACTTGTAATAGATCAAGGTGGTGGATTTGAAGATCAGCCAGTGGCTGCAATAGTGCTTCCTTCACTGGAAATTGTAAGGGATACTGACCATTTGGTGAAGTAGATTATGTCTTTTTTGTATATGTTATTGACCCAATAATCAAATTAAATTGCAAAAATAAAGATGACTTTTGAACCAGCTACTAAAGTCTCTAGCACCATAATCAGTTATATTGGCTGTGTGTGTTTAAATCTTTTATTGATGATTATTTGGCTAGACTTTTGTTGAAAGCAAGGTCAAAGATTCAATAGAGAATCATATTATGTTGTTTGGTTGTTGCTCTAAACCATTTGTATAATCCTGAAATTTAGTGGCAGTCTGGCAGATAAATGAAATCAGCTCTATTACCTCATTTCTCTAGGGATTTCCATCTATATAATTTTTATTAGAAGGCTACTCCACTGTCCCAAATGCATCTAGAAATGTGGACACTCAAGGTTAGAACATTTTCAGAAGACAATTCAATGACTTGGAAGTACAAAAAATTGTTGATTTCTTTAGCACACTCGAGCAATTTAGGGCTAGAAATAAGGGAAGATGTTTTTGGTGGTTAAGCAACAACAAAGGATTATGCAAGATTGATACAACTTACAATAAATAGCACCCCTTACAGATCATCTTGAATCAACAACATAAATTACTTCAACTCAAGAATAACTTGCAATCTAAAACTAATGGAGAGTACTATTAGAAGAAGACCAAAAGAGAAAAAACAACTTATCCTGATGAATGAGTAGAAGCGTCTTTAGGGTTTACCTCACAAATAAAATTGCTTGTGAGCACTTTTTTCACGGTATATATATTCAATAGAGACGAAAATGGGCCGGGCCCAGCAAGTACGATCTGGAAATAGTCATCCTCCAATGCAGGTATCCAACATCAAGTTTCTCTTCATTAAATTGTGATTAAAAATTAATTGTACATGCTTGTAATATTTTCACTTCTACATCCCAACTTGTTGAAGCTACCAAAATCTTTTGATATTTTTCCTAAACCGAAACCATTATTGAATGCAACACAAATATCATCAACAAAAAATTTGGCAAAAATGACGTGGGGATTCTGGATCACCAAAAATCTATTGACTATAGTACATGAAAATCGGTAAAATGGGATTTACCTTCTTCGGGGCTCGTTTGGCTTTGAAAATGGACCGTTTTGAATGTCAGAGCCAACTGGCTCCATAATGAACGTCTTATATGACGTCTACGAAAAATTTGTGCAAAATAGACTGCAAAATTTTGGATCACACACGAAAATTGTCAAAAATGGTGTGCTTATAGCACACGAAAATCGTCGAAATGAGGGGTATGCTCGCTTCGGGGCTCGTTTGACCTTCCAAATGGGTCGGACAAGCCGTGATGGCCAACCGTATGCATAGACAAGGTCTTGACGGACGTCCACGAAAAAATTTGGCATTTTTGACGTCGGAATCCAGATCACCCAAAAAATGGTGTGCTATGGCACACGAAGATCATCGAAATAAGGGGTATGCTCGC